CTCTCCTCTCCTCTCCTCTCCTCTCCTCTCCTCTCCTTCCTGCCCCTCTCTCCCTTCCTCCCACCCTCCCTCTCTCTCTCTCTGAGTCAAGGTCTTACTATGTAGCCGAACTCTCTATGTAGAACTGGCTGAATTCAAACTCAGAGATCCACCTGGCTCTGCCTCCCTGAGTGCTGGGGTTAAGGGCATGTGCCACCATGCCCAGCACTATTTTCTTTCTTTTAAAAAATATTTTATGTGTATGAGTATTTTGCCTGTATTGTAAGTGGACCATGTATGTACAATGCCTGCAGAGGCCCGGAGAAGACATCAGATTCCCTGAAACTGGAATTACAGATACAGATAATTGTTAGTCAACATGTAGGTGCTGGGAATTGAATCAGGTCATCAGGAAGAACAGCCAGGTCTCTTAACCAGTGAGCCATTCTGCCAGACCCCTCAGTTTTGTATTTTTATTTGATATGTATAAGTATATTACCTGCATGTATGTAGGTGTATCCATGTCATGCAATGCCTGTGAAGGTCAGAAGAGGGCATAGGATCCCCCAAAACTGGAGTTATGGATGGTTGTTAGCTACCATGTGGGTGCTAGGAATTGAAGTCAGTGCTCTTAACCACTGAGCTATCTCACTGAGCCATTTAATTATTTTTATTTTATGTATATGAGTGTTTTACCTGCATCTGTGTAAGTACACCACATGCATGCAACACTCTTAGAGGCCATAAGAGGGTATCAGAGTCCCTGAAGTTATGAACCCTTGTTAGCCATCATGTGGGTGCTGGGAATTGAATCCATTCCTCTGCAAGATCAGCCAGTGCTCTTTAACTGCTGAACCATCTTTCCAACCTTTTTTTTTTTTTTTTTGAGACAGGGTCTCCCTGTAGCCCTAGCTGACCTGGAACTCTCTATGTAGATCAGGCTGGCCTTGAACTCAGAGATCCACCTGCCTCCTGTGTACTAGGACTAAAGGCACACAAAGCGCTATCACACGAAGTACTCTCTTCTCTCTTGAACTCACTGAGCACAGCACATGTAGGTTGTGGGTATGTTTATTTCTTCAGACACAATTAGAGGAGACAGAGACTTTTATTAAGTATTAATTTCAAAGTATGTGTGTGTTCTGTGTACAAAAAAAAGAGAAAATCTGAAGCAAAATACTTCTGTGAGGCATATTAGTCATTGCACTGTAATTGAAGTCAATGTATATCATAAACAAGATTAGCTTTACTAAAGAGGCAAGTCCTTTCAGGCGACAGGCCCAGTCAGCATTTTTTTCTGAGCAACTCTCTCCAGCTGTAAACCACGGGGAGGTAATTATTGGAGAGTTGGATGCTATCTAGCCCGAGTTAGCACTCAGGAAAGAAGTGGAATTGTGTAGATGACCTTCAGAAGCATTTTCTGGCGGATTTCTGCACCTCTCACTGCTTCCTATCCCAAGTAGGCTCTGGCTTCTAACCCTGTTTCAGTTATCTGCCATAATAGTAGTCGGTAAGAATCAGTTACATTTGATGACAGATCTATGTGAAAAAGTATGAAGAGAGCCTGCTTCTTTTCCTATCCTTAGGGAACAAAGGGAAAATTACAAAAAAAAAAATTCTTATTTTCTCGCTTTGACCTGGCCGTCAGGTGGGATGCACTTGCCCAGGTGATGGCCCACAGTAAGGCCAAATTTGTTGTTTTTCTGCTCTTCCTGAACCTCTTTTTTCAGTAAGAATCCTGCCTGGAAGTTTAGGTCAAAGAGGTTGCTTGGAACATAATACAGGGGTGTCTCATCCCAAATAGTCTCCAGGCGTTTCTTCCATCCTTCCAGGATCTGAGTTCGGTCTTCCAATGATGTGTGTCCGATGCTGTATGCCAGTTGAGGCGCCAAGATTTGGAAGCCACAGAAATGCAGAATGCCACTCTGGGGAGACACAGGACACAGAGGGTTGTCAAGAACTGGTCCTGCAGCCTGTACTACAAACCAACATCAGAGTGTGTCCAGGGCTGGAGAGATGGCTCATTGGTTAAGAGCACTGGCTGCTCCTGCAGAGGACTAGGGTTGGGTTCCCATCGCCCATATTAAGCATCTCACAACTGCCTGTAACTCTAGCTGCAGGGGATCTGATGGCCTCTTCAGGTATCTGTAGGCACCTGCACACATACGGTATACACACACACAAACTATCCTGGTTTGTTTCCCAATTGCTGTGACAAAATACTCTGGCCAGTTCCAACTTGGGGAGGAAAGGGTTTAGTTGTCTTACGTCTCCCAGGTCATCAGGGAGCCCAAGGTAGGAACTCAGGGCAGGAACCTAAAGGCAGGAGCTGGAGTACAGGCCATGGAGGAACGCTGCTTACTGGCTTGCTCCCCTGGCCCCTGCTCAGCCTGTTTTCATATGCAACACAGGCCCACCTGCCCAGGGGTGGCACCACCAACAGTGGGCTGGGCCCTTCCACATCACCCAACAATCAAGAAGATGCTCCACAGACATGGACACAGGCTAGTTCAATGGAAGCAATTCCCCAATTGAGGCTCCTTCAACCCAGGTGTGTCAAGTTGACATTAAAGCTATCCAGCACACAGACCAACACTCGTACACATAAAAATAATAAAAATAGATCTTAAAAAAAAACATGTGCGGGGGCTGGAGAAATGTCTCAGCAGTTAAGAACACTGGCTGCTCTTGCAGAGGACCCAGGCTTGATTCTCAGCATCCACATGGCAGCTAACAACCCTCTATAACTCCAGTTTCAAGGAGTATAATGCCGGCTTCTGACCTCCTCGGGCATTACATGACACTGGTGCACTTATATACCTGCAGGCAATACACCCATATACATAAAATTAAATTTGTTTTTTGTCTTTTTGAGGCAGGGTCTCCCTGTAGCCCCAGCTGTCCTGGAATTCACTATGTAGACCAGGCTGGCCTTG